CAATCCACTCACCTCGGCCTCCCAAGGCACAGGATTACAGGCTGAGCCACCGAGCCCAGCTGGCCTTGAACTCTTGGCCTCAAGTGATCCTCGTGCCTTGGCCTCAAAAAGTCCTGGGATTAGAGGCGTGAGCCACTGCACCCTGCCTGTTTTTGTTCTTACAGGGAGACAAATTTAAGAAATTGTGGTTTGAAAATGAAGACGTGAAGGCTGAGAGAAGAATTAAGTTGGTTAAAGCAAGAGGGGCATAGCTGGGGTAGATGTGCTCGACAACTCCCAGAGCTCTTGAAGACCTCTCCGGAAACTCAAGAGCTCTTGTGGGCGTCAGTTGCCACAACAGAGTTCTTGGAACTCAATTGCAGGACTGGTTTCACTTACTACGGAAAAGTTGCCAGGAAGAATGTTCTAGGGCCACCAGCAGGGAAGCACACACAGCACCCACAGCACACAGACACTTTGGGAAATGCCACCCTCAGGCTGAGACTGCGAGGATTCCACACGGTGTACCTAAGCCCTCTGCTAGTGGCCAGATGGAGGTCTGGCTGGGGCTGGGTCACATGCTGAGGCTCTTCCTGGTCATTTTCCTGGAGGGTCATTTTCAGTCTCCCCCAAATGTTCCAGATGGGGCCACCACAGGGTTCTTTCAGGGCACACAGTATTTTGAGTTGGGTCTGCTGATGGCATTGCTTACCTGCCGATTCATAAAGACATAGATAATGGGGTTGTAGATAGTGGCACTTTTGGCGAAGTAGGCTGGCAGGGCAGCCACCAGAGGGTGGAAGGCGTAGCCAGGGTGGGCAGCAGCAAAGCATGCAAAGAAGGTGTAGGGTCCCCAGCAGAGGCAGTACGCAAAGACCATCACCACCACCATGCGCGTCACCTCCTTCTCGGCCTTCTGGGTAGACTCGGACTCTTTCTGCTGCTTGGCCACCTGAGGGAGACGGGGGAGAGAGCGGGGTGGCCCCGGGCTCTGTCTTTGCAGCCTCCGTGATGCTGCTGCTTGGGCTGTTGCTCGGACTGGCCTCGGGGTTGTTCTCGGCCTTGACATAGCGAGCAGCTGGGCCTGATCGCGGACAGCCCTCAGAGCGGAGCCACCCAAGCTCTTTGGCTTCAGCCTGGCAGGAGTTTGGAGTGGAAAGCTGTTCCTCTTAGCCTCCCCTGACCCGTTAACACAGTGTCCTCTCCTGTGCTCAGGTGTCAGCATGGAGGCCTCAGCCGATCACCGGAGAAGAGCGAGGGATAGAAGGGCCAAGACGGAAAATGGGGGAAGCAGAAGCAGTGGGCATTCCTTTAGTGAAGCTGACAGCTGGCAGGGTGCCCAGTGGCAATGCCCGAGCCATGAGCACAGGTGCCTCGGGCTTTCGAGACCAGGACCAGCTGGGCTGCGGATGCCTCCTGCCCCTGCACTCATCGTGAGGCACCTGCAGGCCCTGTGGCAGGTTGACTCCTTCGTGTCTGGAGAAAGGAGCTGCGGGGCCATCAGGCAGAGGCCCTGCGGGGAGCCACAGAGGTCAACCACCACCTGCCAGGGGCGGGAGACTGATGCCAGGCAGAGGGGTGGGGATGAGGAGGGACTGTGAGACTGGAATCCAGGAGGGCCACGATTCCATCAGCCCGCCATTAATATGCCCGCAAGGCCACAGCTGGAGGCCTGCTAGAGGCTGCAGCCCGAGACAGCGAGGTGAAGGGAACTAGTCACCAGCTTGAGGACGCCTCTGGAAAGAGCTGGGGAGTACATGCGGACCCAGTTGTGGGTGCAAGCAACTTCCCACTGGAAGGCACCAGCTGAGGGGTCTTCCACTGCCTGTGCCAGGCAGGGTCCCGGCAATTAACAGACGGCACTTCGGGGTCTGGCTAATTGGAGGGAGTTGACTGACAAGAGACAGCTCATCTGCACAAGGGAGTGCAGAGCTCTCAGCACGCCAGGACCCAACCTTCCCCTCCTCCCTTGCTCTGACTTCCTCTAGGGCTCCTTAGTGGCAGCCCAGCCCATGGGGGGGGGCGGGTCAGCTTCCCAGGGCGGGGGGGCGAGTGTGGAGAGTGGGTCTGGGAGCAGATGGCACACTCGAATCGCTCAAGTCCACTTCTTGGTCTGCCCAACA